ATTGAAATATTTTATTTTTATTTTTTTCTGATGGTTGTGATTGAGAGGTTTGCTGTGCCTGTTGGTTTGCACTTTTTTTTTATTTTTTATATCAATATGGCTATGTTGTTATAATAATAATATAAATAAAAAATTATAGAAATTAAATAATCAAACAAAATATTACTTGAAATATTTCACTAAGTTAACTTTCAGAAATAAATTATTTCTTATGCTCAATTTGTTTAATTTTACAGTGAGATTACAATGTATTTATTTATATTTTTAATTTTAAAATTACTAAAGTATTGCTATTATAGTATTTCACTGTAAAATTAAAATGAGAAATTTTTATTATTATCATTATTATTGTATATTAAATGCTAAATTTGTTTAATTTTAAAGAAATTATATTAGTAATATTTTTTTGTATTTTTATTAATATAATCCATTTTAATTTTACAGTGAAATTACAATAGGACTACAATTCAAATTCTAATTTGAATTGAGTATTTAAGAAATAATGATGATAGTCATGAGCATTTTAGAAATGTAATATTTTTAAACTATAAAGCTACAATGCTAATATTTATGGCTGTCTTCATTTCTTTATTTTTTTTAACACTTCACTCTGAAAAAGTACATTTAATTTCTTTGCATATTGCAATTTCGGTTTTAGTTCAGTTCATCGTGCAGCTCTACCTCCTTGGTTTGATTTGAGAATATTATACAATATACTTCACTGTTCTGGATGAGGTCGAAGCATCACTGCAGGTTTATCTTCTCGGCGTAGTTCACAAACGTCTGTCTTCAGCATGCCAGTCTCTGACGTATCTTTACTCAAAGCATGCACTTGACTAATCAAACAGAATTACAGTAGGAAAATATTGACTTTTGTAAGCAAAGACATGATTAACATGTTAACTTCTCAAGCTCTTTGGCACCTCTCTGAATTTGAGTTCCTCTCTAAATTTCTCCTCACTAGGTATAAGTGATGTCTGTAGTAACCCTGCCCTGGTAGGTAACGCTCATGAATTAATGTGACCCTCCTGTTGCGTTTGAATCCCTTCCCATCATTCCCCACACTGACCACTAACACTTGTGCTTGTTTCCTCTCTCTAACCATCGTGAGTTGCCATTAGCATCTGTATTGTTTCTGTATGTTGAAGCATCCGGTTTGCTCTCCAAATGAAACCCTGGTTAGACTTGTTCCCCGCTGGAGTCTTTTCACGCTGAGTGGAAAGGACCGGCTGCGCTCGTTCTGTCATGCCATTGGTGGAAACCAGTGTCAGTCATTGCTGTGCCATCCCTAGGGCCCTATGAATCGGTTTCATTTTTTCCCCCCAAATTCATCTTTTATTTCCATTTAAATTTTTCTGCATTCTGTGTAATGGTTAAATTATATTTTATTAATCATATACAATGTCTAGTTATAATGAAACGTATACAACTTAACTTAAGTTTAAGAAATTACATTTAGCCTATTAAATCCTTTTTTATTTCTCATTGTTTTATTTTTTGCCAAGTTTTTTTTTCTTTTTTTTTCAGTTTTAATCTCTCTGGATTAAATTATATTTTATTAATCAAAAATCATGTCTAGTTAAATCAAGAAGTTTTCCTCTGTTTCTTAAGTTTGACGCATTACGTTCCAGGCCTTATGAAATCCTTTTTTTTTTTCTCCAGTTTAATTTATTTTGTAATTAAAAAGCATGTCCAATTATTTGATAACATTAAACTTATGCAATTTGACAGTTATATTAAGTTTAACAAATATTTTTTGGCATTATGAAATCCTGAAATTGATATAATTTAACAACAATTTATTATGTTTAACTAATTATATTTTAGGGTCTTATGAAACCCATTTTTACTAGCCCTGATTTATTTTTTATATATTTATATTTATTTAAATTTTTCTAGATGGATTTCCCCCCCGTTTCGATTCGTTTACATTTGAATGGGATCTGTATTAATGGTTAAACTAAATATTAATTACATGTTTATATTAATTAAAGTCGAATTAATCATGATTTCTTCATTTATCGATCATTTGATCTCTTTTTTTTTATTTTGCATCTTTATTATATTTGATTTCTTAAAAAAATATTCACTTCAATTTATTTACATTGTCCATTTTTTTTTTTTTTTTTTTTTTTTTTTTTACTTCTGCGTTCTCTCTATTTTTTATTTACAGTAATTTAAATGTTTAATCTCCTCAGAAATTATTTAGAGATATCTGATTTTAATGTTTTATAAAACATTAACAGTTTAATTTTTTTAAAAGTAATCAAATGAGAATTTAAGTTTAGGGTTTAGGGGGTGAATGGATGATTCGTGAAGTTTTAATAATTTGATAACTTTGAAAAGTGCTGGTCAAAAGTTGTGCAGACCCTTTTTGTGTGTATGTGATTATCAAACAAAATGGTAAAATGCTTATGAAGTTAAACTGTAAATTCCACTTATGACTAAATTCCGCAATTTCTCCCGTCACAGAAATCATAGGGCCCTAAGGCCCCTAATTTGTTGCCGTGTGATTTGATTGGCTGAAATACTTATGGACACCAAGCCTGAGCTGTTTTCACAATGGAAATGCATTTTGTGTGCAAAACGCGTAACTTCCTCGCTCTGTTGGCTTGTTTCACAGAAGGATGCCAACCCTCCAGAGGAGTGCAAACAGCAGTGATGGCGGCGGCTCCACCTCCTTCAGGATCCCCTACACTGTAACGGCTTCAAACAAACATAGTTACTTACCGCCTTACAATGTTTTGTATTTTTCTTGGTAGAAATAATTGAAAAATTAAATAAAAGGGTTTTGAGATTTTTGTTACAAAAAAAAGAAGAAAAACCACCACCACACAACTCCTCTATCGGGAGCCGCGGCTCATGACGAATAGTATTTTACTAGACCGGTTTCTTTCGTTTTCCTTTTTCTCTGTATAAATAGTTAGAATGCAGAAAATCCCTCGAAGCATGACACGTTTCTTCACCGCTAAACTAGTTGGGTTCTCGTAAAGTCTTTTGTATTGCTCTTAGACAACAGCTGTGGAAAGACGGTCCGGTTTACAGGAGAAGCGTCCGGAGAGATTCATTCGGTTAACATTCCACGAAAACGTTGGCTGTTTTAGGTTGGGAGGATGTTTAAAGCTCGGTGGAGACTGATGCACATTCCACATCCGTTCAGTCGGCGCTCTGCTGCATGACTCCTTTCTTTTCCATGAGCACTTTGTATTTTCGTCATGTATCCGTAGCGTTTATTTTTTCCGTCGATTCGACCAATGCTTAACTTTTAACTGGCTTGCCGTTCTTCAGGTGGGTTCTCTGCTCCACGGAATGCACTTACAACGATCCGAGCGACCTCATTGGAGGATTAGACTTTGAACGAGAGAACCTGATTGGAGGAGCCAGTTTAGCTAGTGTCTGATTGGCTGGTTTCTGAGCTCGGCCCTGAGTGATGTTTGTGGTGAAACACCACCTCTGTTTGGCAGGCCGATCACTGTGAATGTGTGTGTGTGTGTGTGTGTGTGTTCAGAGGAAGGTAGTCTTCGTCTCCTCTCACTCGTAGCGCAGCCCAGCAGGTCTGAAGCAGATAGAGCAATATTTTCACCCGGAAAGCCCCACCGCCGCAGTATCCCGTGTCTCGTGGCCCGGCTCTGTCCGGATCACCAGTCGGTTAGTTAGTTGTCTGGTGAGCGGTTGAAGCAGCAGGGGTCTTTCTGGTTCCCCTCAGCAGCTGTTGTCAAAGCAAAATGCCATGCTACAAAATACTAATGTACTCAATAACTGTACGTGGATGTATATTCATGAAAAATAAATTGGTAAAACGTGCAAGCCTTGGTCTGTCTTCTGTTCATGTGTAAAGCTTATTAGTTTAACCAAAGCATTAAGGCTGTAATTTAAGCACCAGTTTTATGATGGTTTGTGTCAGTAGGTGAATATTTTGTAATCATTCAATGACTCCACTAGGCGGCAACATTGTTCAAATTGCCTGAATTAAATTTGACCACTCATGGTCAATTTTGAATTCATTTTATAATAAAGATGTAATGGGTGTGTTACTTATTTCAAAAGATGGAGTTAAAAGGTTAAATGAGTGATTTATCATTTATGTTGCTAAAAATACTAAATTATCATCTCTGTGTACATAATGGAAGAGAAAAAAATATATTGCACGTCCATAATGGTTTATTAATTTTTATTTATTTTTTTTGGCTTGTTGACTCAGAATGCAATATTTATTTTAAATCAAACGTTACAAAAGTATTAAATTAGGATGGTTTTACATCGTCTTGTTAAAATGAGATGTATTTCATTTATTTTAATTATTACCAGTGCTGTTATAGTATCATTTAGATACTATTATAGTTTTTACTAATATTTTGAATCTTATTTTGTGTTTTTCATTTTAAGTTCACATAATTATAGCATTGTTCCGTTTTTTTATATTTATAGTATTATATAGTTTTTTTTTTTTTAAGGTTTTAGTTATTTTAGTAGGCTACATTAATTGAGATGAGCTGGAATATTATTTAAATATTTTATTTCAGTTTGAGTTTTTTTTATGGTTTTTAAGTTCTGATTTTCGTTAATTATAATAACCCTGATGAGCACATTGTTTATATAAAAATTATCTTTGTATTGTCATTTAGTATTATTTATATCTATATTAACTATTTAATTCTCAAAAATATTTTTCATGTTTCAAATAGTTGGGTTTTAAACAGTAAAATTGTTTTAGTATTTATTTTTTTATTCTGATATTAGTTTAAAATCGTAATATTTGACATAGTGCTGTTGCAATATTTAATAGTATTACTCTTTCCAAATGTTTTAAATGTTCACATTAATTTACATAATATAGAATAAGATTGATTCCTAAAAATGCTGCCTAGATAGGCGCCTTATATGGTTTTGTGAGACTCGAGTGTGTGTGTGTGTGTGCGCGCGCGCTGATGTTGCTGAGTTGAGCGCGTGAGAGAAAACCCCCGTGCGCTCTCCGTCCCGATCATCACACTCCTCGCAGACCTCCATCTATCCATCCATCCATCGGCTCAAACCTACCCACCCTCAGTCCAAAACCCGGAGCGTTTGATGCGCGATCGGAGGCGATGCTGGAGTCCGGCGGCGGCGCGGTGCTAAAGGAGGGCGCGCTGGAGAAGCGCAGCGACGGTCTGCTGCAGCTGTGGAAGAAGAAGCGCTGCGTGCTGACCGAGGAAGGACTGGTGCTTCACCCACCCAGACACCACCACCACGACACCGCCTGCAAGGCGAAGGAGCTGCACTTCGCCAACATGAAGACGGTGGACTGCGTGGAGCGCAAGGGCAAGTACGTGTACTTCACGGTGGTGATGTCCGAGGGCCGAGAGATCGACTTCAGGTGCCCGCAGGACGAGGGCTGGAACGCGGAGATCACGCTGCAGATGGTCCAGTACAAGAACCGCCAGGCGATCCTGGCCGTCAAGTCCAGCCGGCAGAAGCAGCAGCTGCTCGTGGTCTCCGCGCAGAAGATGCTCCGAAACGCGCAGTAGGAAGCGGCGATATCGACGGACGTTACCGCGCGTAAAAAGCGCTGGATGCGCATTACGGACGTCTCTTTAGTGTCTTTTTAGAGCGCACGGACGCTCTTCGTGCATTGAAAGACATCACGGCTGAATTAGCACCGGGAATATCTCCTCTCAGAGGCTGCACTGGGGGCCGGGGCAAGTTGTCAAATATATTGGGTTGATTTCAGGTAAATTGGGACACTTTTGCCATTGAGATGACTGGGAAAAATGTCCCAATTAACTCCTAATGAAGGTAGATTTGAAACCATCCTTTCAGGGCAAGAGAATTTTACAAAAATGTCAGGTTGGGGCAAGTTGTCACATTGTAATTTTAAAACTTTTGCTTGTTTTTTTTGGCGCTTTCTTGAATTGTTCTGTTTTATATAATTATTTGATTTTTTTGTATTTTTTTTCTATAACAAAAAAGCATTTAAAAGAGAATGTTCCCATTGTGACAACATGCCCCACTTTATGCGTTCAATGAACTGTATTTTCTAGACAGGAATGGTGTACATGTTCATATGATTTTTGTAGCAATGACATAGAGTCTGTATTCATCAGCTGATTGAAAAAACACTGGAGTAAAAGGTGTGACAACTCGCCCCAGTCTCCCTTACATGTTCATGGGTTGTGAATGTGAAATGCCTTCAGTGCGTCATCGTTCGTCTGGCTCGGACAGAAATGCCACCATCACTTTCCATTTCAGTGCAGTTGCATTTGTCAGTTTTGTGCGGCTCCAGACATGCAATCGATATCTTCCGGGAGACCTGAAAGGCCAATCTGTTCCGGTCCAGATCGCAGTCTGCATGCACGTGTGCAGGGGTTTTAAAGAGACTCCGTGACACACTGGAAAACTGCAGACTCTCCTGAAAGCCAGTGATCCTGACAGATCCACCACCATTCATTCACAGAGTCTCTCACTGGAGATGCACAGCGTTGAATGTGCCCATGAAATCTGCATCCGATTATGTATTTATTTGTACATATTTTTTGTAACCGGTCATTTGCATATCTGAATGTTGGGTTATGTTTTTTTAAAGTACACTTGATGCATTTCAGAATCTCAGAATAAGCTTTTGATTTTCATTTTTTTGTTTGTGTAACTGGTTTGGATGGACGATTCACATTTGACCAACTGCTTTTTGTTGTTATACAAACCAAAGAATGTCAAAACATTTTTTTGGGTGCATCTAGCCTACATCATGTTGACAATTTTGTTAAGGTTCAATCATTGCAATTGTTGACTTTGTGCAGAAATGGGAAGAATGCTGGAAAAGTCCCGTTTTTATTTCCACCGTTTTAATTGTGGTCTCTATCCTGACTGAGCACGATGATCTGATCAATATTGTGTTGCATAAATCTTTTCTAAGTCAAATGCATGGCGACGGATGTCGACTGGATGTTGTGGATTCATCAGAAACGTCCCGATGCTCTGCTGTCGAGTCCTGCGTGTGATCGAGCTGAAGTTTGCTTGTGTGAAAATGGTGTTTTGTTGATGGAACGCCGTCGGTCCCTGAGCTGATGCGAATGCCACTTTCATACCTTTGAAATATACATTCCACTTCAAATGAACATTGCATCTTTGTCTTTGCTTAGTGTGGTGTGTTTTAGGGCTTTTGTGGTTATTTTAAAGGAATAGTTCACCTAAAAATGAAAACGTACTCACCCTAAGGCTATCCAAGATGTAGATGAGTTTGTTTCTTCATCAGATTTGGAGAAATGTAGCATTCCATCACTTGCTCAGCAATGGATCCTCTGCAATGAATGGGTGCCGTCAGAATGAGAGTCCAAACAGCTGATAAAAACATCACAATAATCCACAAGTAATCCACACCACTCCAGTCCATCAGTTAACATCTTCTGAAGAGAAATGTTGCATGTTTTTAAGAAACAAATCCATCATTAATGCATTTTAACTTCAAACCGTTGCTTCTGGCCAAAATATGAGTCCATGATCCATAATAACGCTTCCTCCGGTGGAAAAAGTCCATCTCCTGCTGTCTCTCAGATCAAAATCCACACACACATTTATTAACTGTTTAGGACTGTTTTTTGCTTGTAAATGGTGCTGTGCAGATTTCTCTCCTGATTCAGACAAGACTACTTTTTCACTGGAGGAAGTGTTATTATGGATATAGGACTCATATTTTAGCCATTTTGACGTTAAAACGTCTAAATGATGGATTTGTTTCTTACAAACACGCAGCTTTTGGCTTCTCAAGTCGTTAACTGATGGACTGGAGTGGTGCGGATTATTGTGATGTTTTTATCAGCTGTTTGGACTCTCATTCTGACGGCACCCATTCACTGCAGAGCATCCATTGGTGAACAAGTGATAGAATGCTATACATTTAAAAACAAACTCATCTTGGATGGCTTGAGGGTGAGTAAACATTCAGCAAATTTTCATTTTAGGGTGAACTATTCCCTTTAACTAGGTTGAGTTGAAAATGAGTCGTAGAAGGCGACCGTTCGCACTTGCCACGTTTCTGAAAATGCAAATCACATTTGCATTGCGTTGCACAGCGTTTTTTCGAGCGTGTTTCGGGTCTCCTCGTTCACGCTTCCAGCGTGTCTCGTGTCTCTGTGAAGCACTCGCCTGTCTTCCAGAGCTATAAGTGGAAGCCGTTTCCTAGAATAATATTTCACTGTCAGAGCTGTCAGTGAGACGAAGCTCCGACGCACCCGGCTACCCACATAGTGAGGTAGACATGTGGGGGCGTGTTAGAAGGAGCCGTTTTAGGTAGGCGTGGTTGACTCTTAACTTTTATAAAGAATATCTCTTTGGATTTGAGACTTTAGTCTTTGCAACTTTACAGATCTTCTTTATGCACCAAGAGCTTGTAACACTCCAAAGAGAAAGGAAAAATTGAAATCGCATCATATGACCCCTTTAAAACCCGAACGCTAAATCAGAGCGAGGACCACCGTGAAGGATGCATGTGTGTGTTATTGGATCCACATGATGACCTTTATAGACGAGGATGGTTCATTACATCACACTGTACTTTAGTGTCATGTAATAGTTCATGTGTCGATTTGGGACGTGATCAGCAGATGCATATGAAGTCATGCTGACAGATGCACGTGTGTGTTTCTGTAAGCTACATGCGACTGCTTCACTCCGAATGGCTGAGATTCTTTCAAAGGTCTTGCAGGGCATTATGGGAGTGAGTGTGTAAAAATGGCAGACTGACTCACTCTCTGTCCAGTGCGCACACACCCTGATCCTCTATTTTTACACTTGTACACCTCTGTAATCTGAGTTGTGTGCCAGGATCGTCACTCTTATAGCCGCTGATCTCATGTGTTTACTAACCACATCCGTTCGTCACATTATACCGCAGTAAACTTATGGCATTTCTCGCACCATTATGGATTTCAAACATATTACAACAAATCTGATTTTAACTAGATTTCAGGCCACATATTTGACTTTTTAATTAGTTTAAAATAGGGCTGTCAAACGATTAATCGCATCCAAAATAAAAGTTTTTGTTTAAATGATATATGTGTGTGCACTGTGTGTATTTATTATGTATATATAAAGACACACACATGCAGTATATATTTTGAAAATATTTACATGTCTATATTTATATTCATATAATTTATATATTATATATAAATATATTTAATATGTTTATATATTAAATACATAACATATTTTTCTGAAATATATACATGCATGTGTGTGTATTTATATATACATAATAAATATACACAGTACACACACATATATTATGTAAACAAAAACTTTTATTTTGGATGCGATTAATCGTTTGACAGGACTAGTTTAAAACCATTCAAAAAATGTTACTTGAAATAAACTTTAAATAATATATAAATAAAAATAATAATAATTAATAAATCTTTTATTTATTAAATAAAAACGCAATAAATTATTTTTATTTTTTGTTAAACTTTTCAATAAGTTTTTGACGTTAGTTAACAACATTAACATGAACAAACAATGACAAATACTTATAAATTAATCTCAGTTAATGTTAGTTTCAACATTTGCATTACTAAATCCATAGTTTATTTTGTTAATATTATTTAATGGACTTGGGCTAACAATGAACAGTTGTATTTTTATTAACTAACATCATTAAAGATTAATAAATACTATAACAAATGAATTGTACATTGTTAATTATTAGTAAATGCAAATTAATGGGACTTTATTGTATTGTACTAAAATAACTAAAACACACACAAAAAAACTATATACAAAACTAGTACAAATGACAAACACTACAAAATAACTAATACATTGACAAAATGTAAAATGAAAATGTAAAATATATAAAAAATAAATATATAGTCAGACATAAAAAATAAAAAATAAATCAAAATCTTAAAGCTATAATAGTTTCACAATGATGGTGAAATAACGCTGCTATAAACAACATTAATTTATTAATTAATTCTCTTGAGTATATTTTTATCCACAATCAGTTCCTAAAATAATTAAATGTTAGAAGACACCATTGCAGCAGAAATCACTGGCTCGTTACTGTATAGATTGTAATTTTGGCCGGAGATTCAGCAGTGTTTCTGCTACAAAATCATTGTAATTTTCTAATTGCTGGTTAATCTGTGTAATCATTTACTCCTTCCAGAATTAAACCAGAGCTAATTATCAGAGCGGTAGGTACAGGATGGAGAGACGAGCTATAAATGAGGTGAGCCAATGACTGTTTCACATGTTTTAATGTATATAATTGATATATATGAAGGATTTTAACTCTATTCCAAAACCGTGTGAGCTTCCTTGTTATCTACTTTCTAAGGCAGCATCCTAACTGAAACTGAATGTTTAGTCACACAAATAGCACACGTAATACAAATGTTGGGTATATAGTGCATATTTAAGTGGGACTGAACTGTTTTTATTAATAATTTTCAGTTATATATATATGTATATAAAATCAATATCAGAAAATAACTATTTGGAACAACTGTAATTTGGTTTCAGTCTCTATTCTTGGTCCAAACTGTCACAAATCCTTGTGAATGTCAGCTGATGACAATGATTGTCATATTAACCAGCTAAAATCCCCTGCTGGGTCGCTGGTTAGATATTTGCTGTGAAAGGATATTTGTTATTAACTTCATGGCTGATGAAAAAGCTGACAAACGCACATCAGGTATGTTTTCTTCCTGTTCTTGTAGGAAGTCACCTGGCAGTCAGATGAAGAACAAAGTTAATGAATAGTGTCTGTTTGCCAAAAATAAAAAATAAGCAAAAGCAAACGTGTGTTTAAACATGTCTGAACCGAGAATCATCTCTAATAACCTCAATATTTGCTAATATACAACTATTTAATTAAGTTTGAGGAGACAATGGGCCATAAATTAGTAATTACGTAGTGATGTCACCATGTAAAAACAAAAAGAAAAATCAGTTATTGTTTACCCCTTTTTTATTTTTGTTTTCTTTTTTTATTTAGGTAAATTCTTGTGAGATGTATGAATTTGTACTCATTTTGTACAAAAATAAAATATAAATCGGTTGTTTGAACCGATCATTGAGTCGAATAGTTTGAAGGAACCGGTTCCCGGAAATGAATAATTGAGTCGAGTCATACGAAAGAACAGGTTTGCGGAAATGAATAACTGAGTCGAGTCATACGAAAGAACAGATTCGGAGTCATACGAAAGAACAGGACAGGTTCGCGGAAATGACTCGATTCGTCTCAGTGAACCGGTTCAAATAACCGAGGTCAGTCCCATTTTTGTAACCGATAGCTTGACTGAAATAAATCGTAAAGATGTGACGTTCAGGAAGTCTTATCACAGTTACCGCGACACGAGTTCAGTCGAATCAAGTTCATTGAGCATTTGAGTCGTGCGCAGAATACAAAACAAAACGGAAGTTCCTGTGGACGACAGTGACTGGATGTTAAACCGTCGTTACACACAAGCGCCGTCTTTGTAAGTTACCCGAAAACAATTAACAAACACACATTGTGTGCAGTTTAGAGTAATTACACAGCATTGAAAATGCGTTTATGAGTCCTGAAAAATAAACCGTGTGAACCTATATTAAACACCCAAATACTGCTGCTGCTGGCCTTCAATCTGTGAAAACAAACAAAACATTGTGAAATGAAGAAATCCAAAGCTTGTATTTTGGTGAATATAGTTAAATATTCCATATGAATAACAATAATAATTATATTAAATTAATACTACCTCTTCAAAAGAATTGAAATGTAATAGACTATATTTTTGGATATTCAAAGTATTATAATGGTGTCAAAAATTAAGCTTATATAATAAATCTGATGCTTTTTTAAAGATATTACATTAATAGATGTGCGTTTTCTAATAAAAAACTCTTTTCCCCGTGGTCTTTAAATAAATTGAGAATTATTTTTATAGCTACTGTTAATATAAAAGCTATAAAAACTGTTCACTTATGCTCTGTCTTTAAAATCTTTGAATAATTCAATGGTCATGTCTCTATTTATGTTATATATACACACTGTTGTAATGTGTTCTTGTTTAAAGCATAATAATAATAAAAAAAAAACAGGCCTTGTTTAGTCAGGGTAGCTGAAGTTCAGTGCTATATTGCCCTGTTGTTTAACAACACACCAAGTGTTCAGCATGAAACGTCTTTAAAAATAAACTTTCAGTTGACAAAAACTCCATAAAACAGTTTTGAAAGTTGTGAAAATGACATGATTTACGACCTTTACAGTGTTTGTTTTTGTCCTCAGCTCATAAATTGATCTTCAGTACAAAAATAATTGTGATTTGAACTTTAATAGTCTCAAGTTTTCCTTTACTGTAATACTTAAAGGGTTAGTTCACCCAAAAATGAAAATTCTCATTTATTACTCACCCTCATGTCGTTCCAAACTCACAAGATCTTCGTTCATCTTCAGAACACAAATTGAGATATTTTTTATTAAATCTGAGAGCCCTCCATAGACAGCAACGCAACTGAAATGTTCCCAGGTCCAGGAACGTAGTAAGGACATAAATATTTTATTCTTAAAGTATCTTAATTTGTGTCCCGAAGATGAACGAAGGTCTTGCGTGTTTGGAACAACATGAGGGTGAGTAAACAAACGTATTAAAAAAGGCTGGTTCTGTTGTGCTGTGTGTGCTATAGGCGAGATAGATAGCACAGGATAAAATGATTGATAAATTGGTCAATATGATGAATCATGATTGTCATCCTCTTCATGAAACAGTTCAAGCCTGTGTGAGTTCTTTTAGCTCAAGATTAATTCAGCTCCGGTGTTACAAGGAACGATGTAGAAAGTCATTTTTACCAACAGCTATTAAATTGTATAATCAATGTCATATTAGATGCTTGATGTAGAATTTTAATTGTATAGTGTATAAATATGGAGGAGTGCATACTTTGATGCTTGAAACAAAGGGGTGCTGTATGAAATGCAGTATTTTTATTTTTATCTTATTTATTTATTTATTTATTGTGTGGAGTGCTCCGCTGTGAAATGTGAATTTCCCTTTGGGATTAATAAAGTCAATCAAATCAGGTTGATGACAGAATTTTTATTTTTGGGTGAACTATCCCTTTAAGATGTATTATGAAGTATTCTGGCTGAATGAAATGATCTCCTCTTGAACAGCAAACCTTACATTTCCTGTCCTAACACTTGACTTTGCCACGGGTCCTGCCCTTGTGTCTGTTATTATGGGTGAGTGATTTCTCGAACAGAGAGCCCTTTCTCTCTCTCTCTTTCCTCCAGCCTGCACCTGTTCCCGCTCACCCTGCAGCCAGTCACACCAGTCTTCATTAGCGCAGCTGCTGCCGTCCCTCAGCCCTCAAGTCAGGAAGTCTGATTAGATACAGAATGTCACCTTGCCCATATCAAGTGCTGCCGACTCGAATAAGACACATGACGCTGTTGCTGATTTACATCAGTGAGTGAGTAAACACTGCAGAAACTGCAATCTTATCTAGAGCCAAATTAAAGCTCAAAATTCAGTGTAAAAATTCAATGCTGCATAAAAGCCAGACTAAATTATGTCTGCTCAGACCCACCTCGGCTGTTAGCGTCAAAGCATACAGCTGTAATTGCTGTGTAAATGCATCCATGCCATCTCTGTGCAGCATTACGGTCTGTGTAAAGACACCCAAATGCCACTTCAGAAGCGCTTCTGTGCCACCTTTGCAGTGTGAATTTAACATAGGAGTAAATACAAAAAATATGCCTCTATTAAAAATGTTGGTAATGCATTATTTAAGAACTTTATGTATAATTCATTATAAAAATGCATTATATATTTTCATAAATAACTGTAATCAAAGTGCATTAAAATGCATTATATTTGCAGATATGTTACATTTGAAATGGATTATTTGTCATGTATTTTAATGCATGGCATTCTCTATGAAACTGAATAGATAAATATTATAATGTAGCAATTATTAATGAGATCACATATTGTATTATAAGATGCATTACAAGGCATAATTAATGCATTAATTTATTTTTATAATGCATTATATATAAAGGCTACTAGTGTAACCGAAATTGAACTGTAAGAACCTATGAAACATTTTGGACATTTTTACGGGAAATTAATAAAAAAATTAAAGTTTATTACTCAGAAGTTGCACTTTTTTTTTATCTCAGAAGGCGTAATGGGAATGTATTTCATTTAAATAAAATTTTTTCTCTTGAGTTTTCCCCCTAAAACTGACAAATGAAAATGCTTAAAATAAGAATATTATTACATAAGATCTTGAAATGTTGTTTTCTGATAAATGCATATATATGTATATATTTAAGTTTATGCTTAAAACAAGAACAAATATCTCACAATGGGGTCAGAAATACAGTCATGTTTTGCTTTGAATTAAGTTTTATGAAGTTTTTACACTTCTGAGCTCATTTGCAGAAATTTGTTCTTGTTGTTAAGTATAAACTCACTTAATTTTTGTCACTTAATGTTTTATGCCATTTTGTATGTCCAATAAATATATCTTGATTTAGGAATGTTTAGATATTTGTACTGGAAAACTTGACAAATGTACTGAGAAAGAAAATCATTTTTTGCCGTGTGTAGATTTCGAAATTTGAGTGCTTGACTTGAGCTCAGAGGTTTGTGAATTTTTGTTTTTTTAACGTTTGTCAGCAGAAGTGAGTTGAAGTGCTTCCGTGTGTGTTGAGTATCAGTGTTTTCACACACCCACACAGCCCAGGTGTTGCTTACTTCACGAGTCCGTCGTATTTCACAGCAAAGCGCTCAAGGTCACTGATAAGACAGCGCTTGAGACGAACACGCTGGACACGTCTTTGTAGCCGAAGAAAATCAACTGTGTCTTTTCCCAAATGAAACATGCACAACAATCAGGAATGATTTTCTTATCCGTCCATTTTTTAGACTTAAATAATCAACTAAGCACATTATTGGACGGACAGACGAGAGTTTCAGCTCTGAAATGAGGCAAGAGTGCTTGACATTTCAGAATATTACAGCTTCTCTCTGCCTATAAGGTTTCTGGGTAATTAAATAACTCCCAAACAGACCCATTCAAATTATCTTTTGACATTTAAATCAGTTGAGGTTTCCCTCCAGAACTGCCCAGATGATTTGAATAAGAGACCAAAGAAACCTGCCAGGTGAGTGTCCTGTACGTTAGTGTGCGTTACAGTGGAATATCAATATCCAGAAATTTTGCATGTACAGCAGGGTTCCCACACTCATAGTGAATATCATTTTAATGTAGTAAAATCTGTTGTGTGGAAAGTGGCTTTTGATGGCAACAAATGGGACACCCATGATCAATAAATTATTACATTTAAGTGTTGTTTGTGCAATGCAGAACACACCACCAAGATGTAGATGAGTTTGTTTCTTCATCAGATTTGGAGAAATGTAGCATTCCATCACTTGCTCAGCAATGGATCCTCTGCAGTGAATGGGTGCCGTCAGAATGAGAGTCCAAACAGCTGATAAAAACATCACAGTAACCACTCCACTCCAGTCCATCAGTTAATGTCTTGTGAAGCCAAAAGCTGCATGTCCCATCATTAAGATGTTTTTAACTTCAAACTGTTGCTTAAATACTAGTCTTCTATCCATAATATGCTTTTTTTTTTATTTCCAACAGTAGATGGACTTTTTCACTGAAGGAAGCGTTGTTATGGATTATAGACTCATATTTTAGCCAGAAGTGAAGGTTTGAAGTTAAAAATGTCTTATTTGTTTCTTACAAACACGCATCTTTATGTTAACTGATGGACTTGAGTGGTGTGGATTACTGTGATGTTTTTATCAGCTGTTTGGACTCTCATTCTGACGGCACCCATTCACTGCAGAGGATCCATTACTGAGCAAGTGATGGAATGCTACATTTCTCCAAATCTGATGAAGAAACAAACTCATCTACATGGCCTGAGGGTGTGTAGCTACATTTTCAGCAAATTTTATTTTTTAGATGAGCTATTTCTGCTGAGATGAGAGACAATCTGATTATATGAAGGGTTAAGATAATGATTTTTGAAAAATTTCATTCTGACATGATTGTAACTGCTGTTTCTTAGACGTGTGTTTGATGTGTGGAGGTCACTGGTTTGGTGAGTCGGTTGGGAGATGAGCGGTTGTTTATACAGGAGTCTGGTGGTGTTTTGAATGAGGGCTGTGTTTCCTCAGCGGGACGCTCCCACCCTTTCCTCTGTGATTCTCTCCCACTTATAACCACAGCTCAAAAAACACAGGCTTTGTACCTTTTAGCCCTTAGAGGATAGATACTGTATATTCATCTGTGTTCAAAATGACCAACAGCATCCTTTACAATGCAGAAAATGGCTTTTTTTTATCTGTTTGGACTTGAAAAATATGTGGAATGTCCTAATTCAATCTGCTCTTAAGTGGAGGCATCAACAGGAGTCATGTGCGTTTTGTTGAGGATCAGATGAGCTCAGATCATCTGAGGATAATGCTGCTCTGTCATAGGCAGAAGCGTTCATTGTTTGTCTTAGCGCTGTGCGATCTGTGTTAATAAGCAGTCAGAAATGAGCAGATACAGTGGTAATGATCATAAAGCTGACACACTGCGTGTTCTGCCGAGGAAGCATGTTTGTTTTGAAGGTGTGAGCGTCTGACTGTGAGGAAGTGTTTCGAGACTGTGGCTCCGTTCCCATCCTCACTGACTGGCCTACCTAGACAGCATCACTCCCAACCTGAAAACCCCTTTTCCCTAAGATAGCACTGGTTATCATTATACTTGAGTAGTTGACATTTCACCCAGTTGACATTTTTTATATGTTATTAGAATTACTAATGTACATATATTAATATTGAGTCATTTGAAGGACCTATATATTGAGGATCTGGTCCGACCCCTGATGCACGGCAAGTTCCTCAATGCCAAAATTATCATTTCGATTCACTACCTTGAACGTCCGGACATTATACCAAACCGGCAAATTGGCGCAACTCCTGGGAGAATTTGATCGCTATCATCTTGACATCCTTGCCATTGTTGAGGCCCGCTGGACTGCCAGTGGGAAGTTGATAAGTGACGATAAGACCTTCATATACTTCATATACCATGACCATGTCCGCGTTGTGGGGATTGTCCTATCCCGCCGAGCAGCATCGTGCCTACTCTGTTGGCGACCTGTCTCGGACAGAATCATTTCCGTATGGCTGCAAGGCATACATGTGTAGTTGACCTTCGTTCAGGTCTATGCGCCAACAGAAGATGTCTTCGACACAGATAAAGACTCTTTCTATGACGACTTGCTACTTGAGCTCAACCATATCCCGCGCCATGACCTCGTCATCATTGCAGGCGATCTTAACGCCCAGATCAGCAAGAAAAGGCAAGCATTTGATCATGTGATTGGCCCCCATGGTTTAGCGACCGAAACCAATGACAACGGTATGCGATTCCTGACTTTTTGTGCTGCACAAGGACTTGTGGTCGCGAACACATACTTTCCACACAAGATCCACAAAGTTACGTGGAAAGCCCCGGGCGCCCACAGGGTGTACAACGAGATTGACTATGTCTGCGTCTCCAAGCGTTGGCGCTCGTTCATCCTCGATGTGCGAAGTTATCGGGGCGCCGATGTGGGTACTGACCACTTCCTGCTCATCGCAACCTGCCGACTTCGATTACGGCGTTTGCCAGCCCGTGGTCAGTGACCAAAGCCTTTTGATGTCGTACGACTCCGAGACCCGGTCGTATTGCAGCAGTACAATGTTGCAGTCCGGAATCGCTTCGAACTATTGGCCCCCACACATGACCTGGATTCCCGCTGGGAGCAGTTTCGAGACACTCTGGTAACCGCGGCAGAGGCGGCCATCGTCGCCGATGGGGCACCTTTAGAGAATGCTGGATCCAACCTCGATCATGGACATTGATAGATGAACGGCGGCATGCGAAGCAAGTTCGGGATCAAGCACGTGTATATACAGAACACAAAGCCACGACGTGACAAACGCGAGTGGGTTGATCAGAAAGGAACCGAGGCACAAGAAGCTGCAAATCGAAATGATACACGCACACTATATCGGATCGTTCGAGAGCTTACCAACTCCCCATCCGGAAGCGGCGCACCGATTAAAGATCTGGATGGCAGGGCCCTTCCTACTCAAGAAGAACGCGAGCGTCGCTGGGTTGAGCATTTCAAGGAAGTCCTAAAAAAGCCAGCGCCAACCACAGCATTCGATCCCAGCCTCCTAAACCCTATACCCGATCTGCCAGTAAACCTTGACACGATCACAGCAGTGGAAACAAAAAATGCAATCCGGGCACTCAAGAATGGCAAGGCTGCAGGCCTGGACGAGATCCCACCTGAACTACTTAAATCTGGTGACCAGTGCCTTGTTGATGCCCTGACAGATT